AAGGCCATGAAGCCATTTTAATTCAATTGCGTACTACTAACTATTTGCTTAGCTACAGTAAGACAAAGCTTTTGAAGTTTCAAAAAAAATTTAGATGTGAATAACTCTATTTTTCGATGAGAACTTGCATATGAAAGGGTGGGTGTGGGTGTGGGTATGGGATGTGGCTATAGATCTTTTTCTTACGCCCACAGCCACAGCCACACCCATACCCACCCACACCCCACACCCCGCTACAGACACTTAGTAACTGAAGAGAGCATTACAGGCATACTTCTCATTACAGATTCGCCCCTACATTATAGTCCTCAGCAATCGCGCACAAAAGGCTTTAGATTCTATACAATATTTCAATACTTTCATGAATATTTGAAAAAAACTATTTTGCATTATATAAATGATGCATTAAGATAGCAAGTTTGAAGCATATACGTGAGCTCCACATCTCAGCTCCAAAGCAGTTTTACTAAGAAGCTTTTTTTTCTTATTGATAGTAGCAGTCGTCTATTCATTGTTAATCTTGTTGTTGGACTTTTTTCAGGTCAATGTGTGTTGTAAAGCTTGTGAGCCAAGGTTGCGCATATTCTACCATCTACTTGTCTGACTTTTAGAAATATTCATACATTTTGCTAGTTGAACTGTAAGTTATTTATATTGTGAAATAGATTTAAATAAAACAATTTTGAGGTGGGTGTGGGAATGGATGTGGTTGTAGTTCTTTGTTTTACCCATACCCACACCTTGAGTGTGTCTTCTCATTTATAAAATTTATATAAAACTTTTTCTTTTGTTTTTTTACTATTTATATATGGGTGCCGCTTTTTTCCCATTTATTTTCGAACTCGAATCAGACATCTACTCTTTTTTGCAGAGAAACAATCCAATTCTCTGAAATTTTCATTCTCACTCTTCGTTGAAATTGTTAGCACAGCTCCTTTGGAGCTGAAATGCGGAACTCACATATACTCTTCAACCTTGTTATCCTAATACATCATCTATAAACTGAAAAATGTCTTGTCGACTATGGTTGTTGTGACTAATAATCGATGATAAGAGCGAGAATTTACCATTTATTTCTACATTTGAACAGAAAATGTCTTCTCCGTTCGAAAGCGCCTGATTTTATTTATAATTGTTGCTATATACTTGATAATAGTCATGTTTTTTTGTTTTTTTTTTAATTTGAAATTATTATTTTTTTTTCACCATCGGCTATTTCATGAATAAGACTATTACAATAATGTAGTTTATATGCGTCAGCAACTCTTACCACACTACTATATATTTCAATGAATCCATACATGATGATATTGTTTACTTTTCAAACTGATAAAATGATCGAATCATGCTTCTCATGTTGATTATATGATTGGTATGACAAATCAATATATATTATTACTCGTCATTCTTGATTTTTAACATACAAGTTTAAATTCTAACAAAAGTCAAAGATTACACCATTAAGAACTTTAAAAAATATATAATAGGTGTTTTCAAATAATTATGAAAGCATTGAAATTTTCTATAGCAGTCGAGCTCATATTCTTTATACTGTTCAATCTTTTTCTTATTGTTAAATAAATCTGAAGCCTGTCGTGCGCGGTTACTGAAGCCTGTAATGAGAGGGGGGGGGGGGGTAGGGGGGGTAGTGGGGGAGGGGGGGAGCAGGCGAAACGTCAACGAG